ATGTTGTCCCCATCCTTTACTCTAGCTATCACAATATCAGCCTTAGCACAGGCAAGTTACAATAACAGTTTTGACAGCAGCTGCATTTCCCTGGGAACCCCTGCTCAGTGTTGGGAGCCAGGCTGGGAAGTCCCTCCTCCACCATTCCAGTAACAGGATATCCACCCCCCCACCGCAGAGCGGGCCAGGAGCCACCACGAGGAGGGGCCTGATCAGGCACATCCCCATCTTGCTGTCCTAGGCAAGGACAAAGGGCTGTACCTTGCCTGGCCTTTGACTCCTCACCTTGCCTGGTACCCTCGGAAGTGAGCCTGAATGATTGTGACTTTCTCCTGGAGGACACGGAAGCGTCTGCGGCGAAGGAGGCATCTGAAGTTCCTTTGCAGAGTAACAATGGCCCAACTCTGCCTCTGGTTCCATCGTCTCTCCAGAAGCTGCCTGGCCTTCTCCTTCAGAAAGACCTGGGCAAAGAGCAATAATAAAAGCTGCTGGTTTATTTCTTCGTAGCCTTTAAGGCTCCCTGCTAAGGAAACCACACTCCCTTAATTGGGGAGGGCAGGAGGTGCAGGTGCAGGTGCCAGAGATGGATGTATTTGTGGGGGACACGGAATCAGGGAGTGATGGAGGTTAGTAGGCAGGAAAGGCAGAAGCCCAGGTCTCCATCAAGGAGAGCTGGGTAGACGAAGGAGTTGGCTGTGCTACTACCACAGCCTGGAGCCAGAGTCTCCTGTTTCTTTATCTGAAATGCTAAAAATTCCTCCTTCGTACTTGAGACAAGAAGCAAAGCAAAAGGGAGGTGAAGACATGCAATGGTCTCCCTCTTTGGGCAGACAGCCGAGCTGCTCTGCCCATTGACAGCCAGTGAATAGATGGCTGGGCCTCTGCAATTAAGATGGGATTCTCTACAGGCATCACCTTTGTTACTCCAATCTGATAGAGATCTGAGGGGTTCCCCACCACATGAGACAGCACTGCTGCGCAGCCTTCTCTCTCCTCCAAGCAGTTGTTCCCTCGCCCAGCCAGGAGGCCATACCTGGAAGATGAGATGTTGATATGACGGAAGCCAGGGCTGTAACTGGAGTCCTCAGAGGAGAGAAAAATCACAGTGTGCTGGTGAGTTCATCCAGGCTTTGAGTGGCTCGGGAATCCCAAGCCAGTACACTACTGTACCTGGCTAGGAAGTTCTGGAATGGAAGACGGACTGGGTATCCCTCTTTTCTAATGTGGATGGCCTCCAGTATCCCAGAATGCCGCAGCTGACAAGCGACATAATCCACATCAAAGATATTTGACAGCTGTGAATGTAAGGCAGAAGGAAAATGTAAAACAAGAAATAAAGAAAAAAGAAAGGAAGCAGAGAGCGGAGAGTTTAGAAAGGTTGTCCTTCTGTTGTCCTGTCCTTGGGTTAGATCTCGCCATGGTCTATGGGCGATGGAACACAAAACCCAACACATCCTTTGGTGTCCAGCTGACACTGGCTTCTTATCCTCCAGCACGTGGTCAGCTCACATGGCCACAGGGAAGGGTGAGAGACAGAGAAAGGGGAAGAGTTTCAAGCTACCAAATGAAGCAAAGGAGTCCAAACCCCAACCGTGAAAGGAGAGCTGCTGGAGAGGACTGGACTCCAAGGAACTGAGGGATTCCAGAAGGAGCTCAGGGTGCTGCCCTACCTTTTTGGGATTAGGAGTGATGCACCGAATGAAGAAAGCATGGCTCCTGCAAAACAGAAGGAAGAACCTTTGATCCTCCTCCCTGTGCTGACCTGGGAAGACTTCACACACTTCTGGGTGCGGCAATCAGCCCAGTGCAGGGATGGCACTGCAACAGCATCTCTCACCTTCTCAGCTTGGCTGTGAGGTCCTGCAAAGACTGCTGGAATTTGGACACCAGTGTGGAGGCCTGAGGCTTCAGCCCTTTGCCTCTGGCCCCCAGCTCCCTTTGCTGACTGTAGGCAGCTTTAGCCTTCTGGAAAATGTGAGACACCACCTGCAAAAACAAAGAAATGACCCAAGCTCCCCCAACTACATGGAAAGAACAATCTCTTCTATCTGAAACCAGGGGACCATTCTCCCTTGCCCCTAGCAGTGCCAGGAACACAGCCGCACCCTCAGACAGTCTGTGCGTTTTATATATAAAATGCATCAATTGCAGGCAAAAACGACTTGCTCAATTCCCAGGTGTCCTTCAGTAGAACAAAAATCCTCACGGTTCCTCCAGGTTCTCCTGACATCTGACCAAGATCTTTCTGCTCCTCACATGAAAGCAGTGAGTGGCTCATTAGGTGCCTGCAATAGAGATCTTCATCCTGAACCACTACAGTACCTTGAGGCGGCTCTGAGAAAAGATATCCAGCACCTCTGGACGCAGCTGGTCACGGTTTTTATTAAGAAACTTGTGGACCTGCAGAAGCAAAGTCTGATTTAATGCGCTGTTCAAGACAGGCAAACACCCCTCTTTCTTACACACACTTTGAGTTGGGGCAGACAGCTGGGGAGGTGGAACAAGAGGAAAGCCCTAGAGAGTGTAGCTTGCTCTTCCGGCTGCCACCAAGAACGACTTCTGCATTTAGGAGGGATTGCTCCTTTTCCCCTTCACATTGCCCAGCAGGCTTTGACCGCTCGCTTTCTTTCAGCGGCAACAGCTTTCCTGGGTTTCCAGGGCTCTGAGACAAGCAGTGTAGGCTGTTGCCTAGTCGAGGCCATTATCTATTTTGTTTCCGCCCAGAGGCAGCTTAGTTGCCTCTCCTAACAAGAATCTCCTCGTTTCTGATAAACTGATACTCTAGAGGAATGTGCAAAGAGAGGGCTTTGTTCACAGCACTCGGAGCTCATCCGTCAGAACACCCACAGCATGCTTCCAAGCTGGCCTGTTGCTCCAGCTGCTCAGAGCTCCCTGCCAGCTCACCTGGTAGGTGACAGAGCCTGCATAGTGCTTCACAGTGAAGACTGGCAAAGGCAGCTTGGGCTTGGCATACCAAGGGCTGTTTCCGTGATGGTAATGACACTTCTGGAGGAAAGTGTGGTCAGTGGCCTGTTAAGGAGATGACAAACTTGTTTCCTGCTGCTGCAACATATTCAGTAGGCCGAAAAGCCACTGTTAAACCAAAGGTAAAAACGTCTAATACTTGTGCAAACACAGTCCCTGTTCAATCCGTATAACTGCCTCACCCTAACCATCCTGTGAAAGGGATCCCATAAGAGGATAAGAGCTTCTCACCTGAGTCAGTGAAGTCTGGTCATCCAGGATACACAAGATGCCATGGGGTTTCGCAGCAATGAAATCTAGGCATGACTCACTGTACATCTTGGAAATCGGAATCCAAGCTAAATGCTCTTGGCTATATTCCTCCTGCATGTTAAAGACCAACCAGTCAAATCCAGCCATGCAATCAAGAACAAATGGAGAGAGTTAACAGAGGGATTTCGTTTATTCATCAGGAAGGTAGCGTTTCACTGCTGTTAGAAACTTGCCTAGAATTATCTGGTTTTGCCTTATGAAACTTTTTCTAAAGGCACTAATGATTTTCCTAATTTAAGAGAGGAAGGCTGCTAAGCAGAGTGATAAAGTGAACTGTAAAAGGCAACAAGTCTGATGAATACCCTTTCATCTCAAGGTGGACACGAGTGGTACACAAAATGCTACAATGAATCTACTAAACAGGCTTTAAAAATACCAGCTGAGGTCTGGGGTCCTTGACCCTGACCAGCTCACTTATAAAACCTGTAAAAGTAAGTAAGGCACTAACAAACTCCCCTTCCCTTAATTTACTACAGAATCAGTAAAAGACATTAAATAGCCAGCTCTTTGGACTAGGATTCCACCGGTATTGCTTAAGAGGGCCAGGTCTATTCAGCGTCCTGCTTCCCCACCAAAGGATACTCCCCAGCTGAGGCTGCCTCAGCTCATTCCATATGTGCTGCCTTTCACCTGCTGCCATGAGCTCCATTTACCTCTTCCTGGGCAATGACAGTCTGCCTGAAAAAATGCTGGAGACGCTCATTGGCAAAGTTAATGCAGAGTTGCTCTAAGCTGTTCACACCGAGATCCTGCAAAGACAAAAAGGCATCGTCACTTCCAACCCACAGCCCTCCCAGGAGGGTGGGTCTTCTTGCTAATAGTGCACAGCACCAGGTGGTGCTGATCTGACCCGCTGGTTCAGGCAGGTTGTTCTGATCAGTAAGTGTGAATGAACCTGAGAAATTCAAATCATCTTATGTCTGGTTTGCAGGCTCTCGGCCTGGTTTATTGACCAGGCTGAACAGCAAGAGGCAAGACAAGCTGTGAAGAGCACAAAGAGATCTGCTCTTGGACGCACACTCCCCCCCTGCATACGCTCCATTGTTTTCAGCATTCATCAGAACACACAGATTTTAACAGCAATCCTAAGTATAGAACTCACAGTCCTTGATGAGCACATATCACTCTAAGCCCCTGCTCTGCCTGTTATTTACTTACGCAAATCTGGGAAGCCCCCAAGAGCTCACTGGGGCAGAGACATGGGTGTATACCTCCCACAAGGGTAACAATTCCTGACCCAGAACTCTAGATGCTACCCTAACCCCAGTTTCAAAAAGCAATAGCTTGCAAGGCCTTTGGTTACAAAATTATCTGCACTTCTCCTATCCCTGGGTTGATGCAAAGCCTAGTGGATCAGGGAGAATCTCTTCAGAAACTTCAGTGGATTCTGGATTTGTCCCTGTTCAGGCTGGGAATAACAGAAAAGCAGGATATGCTGAAGCACATGAGAAGAAATACATTGTAAAAGATAGTGTTAACATATTTCCAGCTTTATCCAAGTCTTCAGGAACAAATGGGAAGTTAGACTAAAATTACATTAAAAACATTTTTCTTACTTCTGTTAGTAATAGCATCAGAAACAATTAAAATGTGATTCATTAAGAGTTAGCTCATTCAGCTCACCTCATCAGTACAGCAAATTTGTACTAGCTGTTTTTCTGGGTTTGGTCCATCAAAACTGGCTGATGAGCCATCTGGCTCTCCAAGCCACTGCTGAGCAGCAGACCACAGGCTGCAGGGAAAGGACTCTGAGCTGCTTTTTACAGGAATTTTTGCATAAATGAACATTCTAAGAAACTCCTGGGGGTTTTGTCAAACCTCTTTTACATGAGAATCGAACCATGGAGTTAAAATCCTTTTGATGTTGCACATAACTTGGTTTCTGAACTCCAGTGCACTTGCTGAAAAGGTAGTTTGCTCTGTATTTAATACCGCATATGAGCTAATTCAATGGGCCAAGTTGGCTGAAAGTGCTGGGTTTGTTCTGATTTAAAATCTAATCATTTTCCTCTTCCTTAGACTGACAGAACCAAAGCTAGCTATGTCCACTGTTGATGCAGCACCTTACTGGTCAGTTCATGCAAAGGTATCAAACAGGCAAGGCTGACATGGTGGGAGCACCAGAAACCGCTCTATTTGAGGCTAGGTTGTTAACTGCCTACAATTGTTAGGACTCCACTTACACACCAAAACTACTTGCAATCCACCCAGTCCTATGTACCTTAGGATTCTACCTATGCCACACAGTCATGGAAGACTACGGGCTCCTCCAGAGAGCAATTCATAACAAGAGTCTGTAGTAAGAGTGTTAAATCATGCCCTGAAGGAGCACTTCTCTACTGCCTCTGGAAAAAAAAGTACCCCCCTGAATACAGGCATCTACATTACATGGTACAATTACTGTCTCCTTTCTGGGAAAAAAGAAAAAAACAAAAAAACAAAACCAAAAAGAAATCCCAAGCATTAGATACCGTCCCATTTCTGGCAGCGACTGATGAGAATCAGCACATGCACTTGCAGCCCAGAAAATATCAAAAGAATAGGAAAAGCAACCTCAAAACCATGTATGTCCACAATGCCCACGGCACGGTCCGATTCCCAGGGAGCCAACCACTCATTGATTCTCAGCAGCAGCCACTCGAAGAGCAGGTAATACAGAGTCTTGGCAATGGAGTCCCTGAGTAGTAAAGGGGAGTAAAACCAGTTACAGCAAAGACAGCACCTTTGGGTCCATCTCACCAACCCAGACAACAACGGCAGAAGTCACCTGGCATCGATGGCTCCTTCTACAGACAGAGGGGTGAAAATCCGATCATAAGATGTCACCTGGATACATAAAGAGCTGGAATTTACTGTTATTATCTCACAAATATGCTTTTTTTCTTTTAAATCCACAAGCAAGTCAGCCCAGTTAATAAATGGGGTTTTTTTCTATTTGGCCTGAGAATTTACCCAGGTATCAAAGGAAGCAGTAAAAACAGAATTTGTCTGCCACATTTCAGGGTGGGAATTGGCTGGCCAAAGTGTTAAGCCTGAAGCCACCTCACATCAGAGAAGAGCCCTCCTAGATGTGAGTTCTGCCATCTTTACAGAGCTGCCTTGAGGGGTTCAGCTCATCCCCATTACTGATCCAGCACAGCAACCATTTTACTCCCGCTATTACCTCCCAGATTTTGGACCTTCTAAGGTGGTGGCCCTTCTGCTGAGAGAGCACTGGGCTAGGGCATTCTGTGCTTCAGGATGAATGAGAAATCACCAAAAAGGTACTCACAGTGACACGGTGAGTGACAGCACTTTGCAGGAAATCTGCTGAGACACGCAACAAATTGGCCACAATCTGAATCTCGGTGTCACTGGCGATGGCTGCATGTTCACAGAATTCTTTCTAAATAATGGAGAATAATAACAGATTCAGCTATGGATGGGATACTAGTTCCACTAGTATTAATGTTCTCGATGGCAGCTCAGCAGCACAGAGCTGGTCACAGCCTGGGCAAAACACCTTCATCTAGGTTCACTTTGGCTCCTCAAAGAGCCACCCAAGCTTTAGTGACCTTTGGTTGCCTCCCATCTTCTGTCCTTGCCTACATCAATCTAGAGCCTAATATCAAATGAACAGAATAGTCTTCAAAGGATATCATCTTCAGTCAAGAATAACGTCCCCAGTCCTTCCCTTCATGTGGCATAACAGCAATGTTCAGCACAAAAAGCCCATTCCCAAGCTGCCAAGGATTAGCATACCTCGTAGGAGGTAAAGCAGATATTCCCCAGTTGCAGAATGGCGGCCAGGACAGCCCAGGTGGAGGTCAGCTGGTCACCCGAGAGGCTGATTCCCTCCAGAGCTTGCACCAAGACCAGAAAGTCCTGACTGTCCTCCTTCCCCAGGATGTCACAGGCTCTGCCCTGAGAGAATAGGGACAGATAATCGTGGTCAGCCCCTTTTGCCCCCGGCTGGAGCTGAGCTGCCAGCAGCAATCTTCAGAGAAGCAGTTCAATGTTTTAAGGACAGGAGGAATCCAAAATAAAAAGAACAAAGACACCACTAGCGGGAGGCTCAGCATTCGTGACAGACCAGTCTCTTTTCTCTCTGGAGTTTTTGAGAGTAAGATCTCTCTTGCCCACACATGCTAAGTTTTTATTATGGTTCCAATATAGGCACCCCAGCTACCCCTTGCCCACTGCTGGAGCGCAGCTTGAGAGAAGAAGGGATGCCAAAATCTAGTCCCTAAGTCATGTCAGATTTGCTACCCCAAAGGGTACCAGAACCCAATGTATCGAAGCAAATGGGTTCCTCTGCACCTAGAGAGCCATCCTGGGTTACAGTCTCACTCACCTCTGCCACAGAGTTTCACTACAACATGGGCATATCACTGTTACTCTTCTTGTGCTTTTCTCTGCAAGAGGACACTCCTAACAACTGCCTGTGACCCTAAAGTTCACAGAAACCCTGGGTCAAGGCAGTCTGTAGAACCTGCTTGTGTACAAGGGCATTCTTTGGCAGAAGTTTCCAGCTGATTGCCAGATTCAGATGGGGACAAGAATGAGGTCCAGGCAGCCCTTGGGCTGCTTCTTGCCCAGACCAAGATCCAAGAGAGATTTTGTCAGTCTCTGCTAACTTCTTTATGCATGATCTGATCTTTTTCCCTTTTCTTCTCTGCAGCAGGCTGAGGCACTCCTGTTAACTGTCACCTTGAAGAGTTTACTTTACAATACAGATCATTTGCCAGCTAGGAACATCACCCCATTAAGGGATGGGCCCTTAGTTGCCCTCCATCCTTGAGTCATTAATGGTACTTGTTCATTCCTTGCCTGAAGGAAAGATGATAGCAATCATTCATCAAGGATTTCTCACATGACCACAGCTGCTGGAAAGAGTTTGCCCACCTGGGAAAGCTGACCCACACAGCTGAAATAGGAAAGATATCTTGCTATTGCTGTGAACTCCCTGAGTACTGAAAAACACTCTTAAACAAAAGAAACCGTGCTCCAAGATGATGGCTTGCCAT